ATACTGCTGTCTCGATTGAAATGTATACTCCAAGTCACTCTATACTTTTACTTTCGTAATCAATACATACGTGGCTAGCCCTGCAGTTCCATTGTAATGGTCATACTTCTTTTGCATTGCGACACAGATTGATTCGATTCACGCTAGTGCATAGCAATAAAGTGTAAAAATCATCGAAACCATCGAAGTACGTGCTTGACACACTTTGAAGCAGTCATGCGAATAATGGATAATTTTGTATTTATCCATTTGTACCAGGTAATCCGATTATTAGCTTTGATACTCCTTATAATACTGCGGATGTGGTAGACAAATTAATTGGCTGATATTTCGTCACAATTCAATTAAACAGCGAGGCTGTTTAATAACCTTCACTTATTTCGCAGTCATTTATAATTATTTGATCAAGAGAAGTCGGGTCGGAAAGTTAACGACATTTCCATGACCTAGTACTGCAGGAAAATTGTACTTACAAGAACTAAAATCGCTATGGACAATTAGTTTTCAAACGAAAAAAGTGAAATCAGCAAATATAGATAGTTCTGAAGTACCACAACAAGGTGCTAAGTTGTAGTTAGGCAGGTGTTCATGTCGACGTCTCACAGTTATACAGTCAACATTATCATTTGACAATTTAAAGCAGACGCTGTTGGTGGCAGACCATTGAGAATTGATAAAGGCAACACCACCAACTCGCCTATTCCCTAAAATGGTTTGTGGTTGTGTGTACATAGTGAAACAATTTAGATAGATTAAACTGTCATCATTTGATCCGTGGAGGCATGTTTCTTGAAGCGTTATCACACCTGGATTACGCTAAATCATAGAAAATAGCAGAGAATCCGAGTAATTATTCTTGTTCGATAATGAAATGCAATTCGTGCATATAATCAATGGAACAGTCATCTGATGCATTGCAGTACGCTTGCAGGATCGTTTCTACCCACCATGATGCGTTTTCTTTAGTCTACTAGAAACTCGGAAATCATCAAGTTAAAATATTTTTGAATAATCGCGAGAGTAAGTAATGTAATTTAGACACATAACTGAATAAATAAAAACAAAATATCATATGCAATATAAGTGACAGAGAATTTGGTACACAAGGTTTAAACAGGCCACCAGGATTACGATGTTGAAAAGAAACCGAAAAAATCGAATAGCTCCAAATTATCTATAAGTTGATGCCTACTTGTTAAAAATTCTTTGATTTTAATTTCTTCTGCGTACTGGGCATTTATCAATTTTCGTCTTGTACAATTTAATACTACTTGTTACAAATAAGTAGCAAAATTCAATATTTTATTCGATTGAAATCCTTTTACTTTTTTAGCATAATATTCCAATTCCATTGAGATTCAAATACACATTTATATTTTATTCCTCTAAGTTTCCAGTGTAACATAAAGTTTCAAAATCGAGAATCCTGATTAACACTCATTCAATCAATAATTTATCTCCCTTCCTTAATCTAACAACCCTATTCAGCTTATCTAGTGTTTTCATATACACCGCTTAATGTAATTGTGACTAGTGACTTTTATTTCGATCCTGTTATCTGAGAAAATGTATCTAAATTTGGTTGTACACTTGAAGATAATGAATCCGTCGAAAGCAGCCACCAGTTAACCAACTGCTTTTATTGAATTGTTCAGTGTGGGGTTACTTTGGTAGTCATTCATGTCGGTGGTGAAGTCTATGGAAGTAGACTGGTATATAGTGTTTCAACTATACATATTCTGCCATGAAAATGAGCGGTCCTCCAATCTATGCCCCGATAGTACATCACTATACACTGTTTCAGGTTCATAATTATCTCTTTCAATTCATCGTCAACGCGTTCAAATTCGACGGTTTACGACTTAAATTGTCACAATTACCAGTTGTTCAGCTGACGCATTTCTGAAGTACTTTCACAATTAATGCTACTATACTACACAGGTTTCCAGTAGTTTTCTCCAGAGGTGACAATGAAGCATGCATATTCGACGTGGGCTGAATGGTGATCATGCAATTGTAGAACACATGAATCTGATACGAATCTGTCTCTCTGGAAACAAAACTTTCACAAGACAAATTGAGTTTAATGATTGTTGTCACATATTTCAATTGTGCATTTACTTGAACTGAAGTCAGTTGTTAGTAACGGCTGGTTATCATGCAGTGTACATCGAAGAAAAATGGCTCCAATGGTTTGACATTTATACACTTCCAAAAGTGTTTGCTACAGACCATAAAATAGAACGACAAGGAGATTCGAAACATTGATAAGCTCCATGTACAGATCTTTGGAACCATGTCATAATCTACAAGTCATGTGTATGTAGTCTCGAAGAATAACGATAACTGCTGATCTAACACTATTTAGTTATCATTTACTTGACAACATGAATTCAAGATTATAGTTATATACAATAACCGTAACACATGGATTATTTACAAAAATCGAAACTGTGACGGTGATTTTCCTAATTCAGTTGAATCTGATATCATGAGAAAATGACACAAAGATGTTTGTTGAAAATTTCAGAGTCATGTGTAGGCGAGAAATCCTTGTCTTTTATTCGCTGCTCTGTGACCTCAATCAGCCTACGTGGATTATGTTACACACGGATGTGCCACTTGTGAAAGAGGATGTGGGATGACAAATCAGAACATCCATGCAAATTAAGATACGTTGAAAACAGAGGTGTGTGAGCTTATGACAAAATTCCATCCCTGAGGAAGTAAATCATTCTATTCCCAGGTTGAATTGACAATGACGTAAACATTGTGTGACACTTGGCGTGTAGCGCCTTCGACATTAGGAGTTCACCAGGACTTTTCTTCACTTCCTTAGGTGGCATTGTGTGATGCACGAAATAAACTGTTATATGACCAATCCATCTTTTAATATAACTCTCTTGAAGGTATCAAGAAACCCATCTGACTGACAGTTGAAATTGGTGATAATAAGGTGATACTCGTACGTTCTGTAAACCCCTACTTCAACAGAACCAATAAAAACATTCTTAGTCGTTGAATGAATAGAATTTAGTCCCAGTTCCTGCACTTCATCCAAACTAAACATCTTTCAGTGACATATTTGCCGCTACCTCCGACTATTTCACACAAGCGTATACGGAAATTACTACTTCTTTCTACAAAGAATGTTCTGTTCTGATTCACAAGCCAACTGTGCCGGCATATTGATGGGGTGGCTGCGGGTTCCCCCTGGTTTCTTTCCGTAGGAATATATTCATGGATCATCTTGAACGCCTCGAATAAAGCTAAAAGTAGAGACAGCCACCTACCACTGCACGTATGTTTGTGACACGTTTGTGGTTCGCAATAATACGAACCACGTATCCAAAATGTTTGAAAACTTGAATGCGGTTCATCACACACATTGCATTTACAATGGATCATGAGCGTAACAATATGATTCACTTCATAGATCTCAACATAAGGAGAAGAAACTATCGGATAATTGAAAAATTCTTTCACAGGATAGACACTTGAACTCCTCAGTACTCGAATTAACACAGCTAATGCCCAATCACCTACAAATGGAGCTTGTTAAAAAGCCGACCTTCAACAGAGATAAAGCATTTGTTCACAAGATGACAGTAAAGACCAACTCACAGTTATCGAGAAGAACCTTATCGAGAATGGATACTCTCTGAAATCATATTGAAATATGGAAGTGAAGAAAACACCCAGACTGGAACCCGAAAAAGTAGAAGAGGAGCCAGTTTTTATCTGTCTGGCTAACAAATGAGATGGAGTATCTGCGAGACCAGGAAAAAGAGTGAAGGGTGCATTGAACAGAACATTTCACTCTGCCAGACTTATTTCAAATTTACAGCACGCCATTCTCGTTAACTGTGTCAGATGTTGATAACTATCTCGCTCATAACAACTCCAAATGCGCTAACCAATTCACTGACACTTGAAATAAACAAGTACATAGGAAGGACTGAGAGAAGAGCGCCTTCTAGATTTTCCGATCATACTCCTAAACGTTGGCGTTCGAAAGGCAGCAAGTGTCGTCAAACACTATTGCCTGCCACTTAACAGGCACGTGAAATACAGTGGAAATTCGTCAGGCTGTCAAAATAATCAACACAGAAAATACCATGGTTACACCGGTTCTCAGAAGACATCGCCGTATAAGTCCCACAGCCAAAATCTCTATAAAATGCTGGGCACGACTAATACTTCACTACTCTGATAACTCTAATTACTTCGTTCATGTGTCTTTCTGTTTTGTTCTGTTGCATAAAATCCCATTGGATTTTGATTTTCACTTATTAAGCTGGACTCACAATTAACTTTCCACATCTACTTAATTGTCCTGTTTATATTTTAATTTTACTTCACTATTCACCCCCATCCGCTATCGATTCACTGTTGTTCAAACTTGTTTTCGCCTCTATCTTGTCCATCCTTGCTTCAAAGCTAAATACAGACTCCACCGTCTTATTCAAATCCCTACTTTTCCAACACAGTGTAAATCGTCTGATCGCATCATTTTAGGATTTGTGTTACCTACACCTTCAATCTTCAACTCGAAATCATTGTTCCCAGCATGCTTAGAAATTTCGTCCGAGTCCCTGGAAAACAACGTCCAGGAATATTATCACGATTATTCAACATAATTTGCCTCTGCGCTGAACACCGTGTTCACACAGCAAAGAGTATAATTCCAAATATGGAGATAAATTAGACACACGCTGACGAGAACATCTTTGGGTGGGAGACGAATATCGGGAGGCTCATCGATTAAGTGGAAGAAATCGTTTGACGAGGAGATGAGAGAGGATGTGCGGTCGTGTAGCCAGATAAAGAGGATCGAAGAGAATGGGCCAATTCGGAGATGAGCTATTGAAGCACTTTGTTCCAATCGGAATGCAATGGGACAATAATATTAATAATATTAGACACAAATATCCCACGAGATTTAAACTGAAATTTGCTACCTAATTATGCATAAATCAGATGTTTTATAATGTTCTCGCTGGTTTTATAGTCTGCAACAAATAAACTAAATCAACGAGTTCCCACTTGGACACAATTCTAATAAAACAGACAATGAAACGAATTCAAAATGTCACATAGAACATTACTTACTCATCAGCCACAAATTGAAGTTACATAGACGTCTGTCGAATGTACATTAGGTGAAACAGTTTGGAAAATAGAGTGTCAGCTATAGCAGGTTTACAGGCGAAAAAATTCACTCACGCCAACTATGAATACAAAACCGTCGACAAGCAGATGTACAAAACAATGCAATGAAGTAAATATCGACATCTAAAGAGCATATAGGAATAGAGGAGTAGGATGGATGGAATGTATACATGCAAAAAAGATTGATAATAGCTGACATAATAGTCAATCAATCAGACAACGAATACGCCGAGCAGATTGGATGTTGAAGAATGTTGTTGTCTGAGGTCATTTTCAGTTAATAATTATTTGTGGTTTCCTTCTTCTTCTGTTCATTCCTTGGTCATCATCGTATATAACATCACCGTTACCAGGTTTCTTGTAATCATCATCATCATCATCATTGTCATCATCATAACCATCATAATCGTCATAATCATCATAATCGTCATAATCATCATAATCGTCATAATCGTCATCGCCAAGATAAGGATTCGAATTGCCTCTTGTATTTGTAGCATTGGTTAACTGGATCAACCGTTGCATTTTGTTCCCTGTAAGATCAAAAAAGAAGCAAGTCTGATATATAGTCAACGTCAAAATGGCATGTGACTTCAAACAATCTGTCATCACGAAAGTGATATTAGAATCTAATGAATAACAGAATCGTATCAATCTCTACTGACACACTGTGCGTGTCAGACAGATATTAGGCCACAAAACTACAACTACTCACGCAGTAGCAAATTCACCTATACTTTGTACTAATCAAAAGTGGACAATGAACTGCCTAACCAATAGACATATGTCTCCGATGCCGTATTGAGACTGACTAAGAGCATAAAATGGAGGTGGAATACGTCTTCCTACAAGTTACTCGACAACTGTTTGCCAAGTAAACCTGACGTGGAATGAAGGCCGATCGGAATTCACCTTGTCATCCGAATGACATCAAAACTACTTGGGATGTGAGAAATTGTGAAATTGGTTATAGTCTGTAAAATATAATCTGATTAGTAGAATTTTAGGCGTCGGTGGCACACCGGCCAAGACGCTCGGCGACCATGCGTATGGTCCAGGGATGGATTCCCGCCTGGCACACTCGTTTCCCTCGCTAAACGAGTATTGAGACTAGGAAAGAGGAGTGGTTGGGCATGAGGCTAGTAACCGTTCCTGTAAAATAAACACTGCTACAGAAACTTCAAGTCACTAGCTTGAGGACTTATGTTCCACTGGGAACGTGAAGGAAGGAAAAAAGGAAAAATTATTATAAGATTTGGTGATGCATATTACACATTTGATGACAGAGAAACACAAAGCTATATCAACCAACTCATACACTCACCTGTAGCAGTTCCATTGGAAGCGACATTTGCATCCAAGAAGTGTTGATAGAGAGTAATGATAAGCGATATGCAGAGGAAAAGTCTCATCGTCATTCTACAAACAAGGAAAACCATACAGGTATGTAGATAATACCAATGACAGTATTGTCTGACTGAACATTAACTGAATTCAGGAATATAGGAAACACTAGTCTAGTCAATTCAGAAACTTACTCAATCTGATTTCGGTGTGTGTGTTTTGATGGGTATTATCGTTTGCTAATCAAAATTAGACAGCCTTTTATAGATATTCTTGCTCACGTGTAAGTCTTTGATTGTCTCAAAGTGATATATGTAAACTGGCACGTTTGCATAATTACAAGGAACCATGAAACGAAATAATCTGTACGTGACATCACTAAAATTCACGAATTATTAATCCGTAAACGTCCCAGCTTATCACTGTTATATTCCAGAACAAAAAGTGTACATAGATCATGAGATTAACATCACTCGTACTCACTGTGCTTGTGTGAAATGCTGAGATCAGTTTTATCGGTCATGACATAATAATTTATAGAATAACATTAAATGCGCCCCTCGATATTATCTACGGGTTATTATATTTAATGGTTTCTCGAGATAACATAAACGTGCTTATCTACTAATATCAATCTACTTATATCACCAAAGACTCACACGTGAGCAACAACATCTTTAAAAGATGAACTAGCTTCAATTAGTGGACTGCAATACACATTGTGACTCACACTCAGGGCAGATTGAGTGAATTTCTGGATTGGCTGAGCTAGTGTTTCTTCCACTCCTGAATTCAGTCGGCGCTCAACTAAGATTTACTGTTCTCCGTAACACACTCACATCTGTGTGTTTCACCTTGTTTGTAGAAGGAAGGTTAGGCTGTCTCTTCTGGACATTGCTTATACTGACTCCCTATCAACACTCGTTGATCAGGAATGCAGCTTACAATCACGTCGTCTGCTTCCTAGGTTCAGGGTGTATAGGAGCTACCCATGAATTGGCCATCACCTAGCAGACTGGTTCATACAGAATGAAACCAGATGCATGAAAACGTGAAATTCTATCCCACATGGTTGACACGGAACTTCGGACTGTCAACTAACTTAGCTTTGGAGTCACACACCACATCCGAATAAATCATGACGCACAGATCACCTACATCTCGTTCATGTATCTAAGATGGTCGCTATAGTACAGACTATGCCTGAACTTCGTATTTGGAAGTGATACGTCCAGATAATGTTTCTGGCATGGCTAAACTTGGATTTGAAGTTTTCCTCCATTCTAATTATTTCTCTTTGCCTTACAGTTTTGTATTTTCGGTTCGCAACATCAAAGCACTTTAAGTCACAATACCCACCATTCAGTCATTCCTCGAAAACTATAAAATTCACTACATTTACCTAAAACGTTAAGCTGTAGGAATCCATTTCATCATAAGCTGATATTAGTTAGGGAAGCATTGGAAAGCCTGGGAGAACAGGAAAACTGTTTCCTCGTAGTTTAGGATCCTTCATCAATACAGACCAACCGAGGTTCGAACCAAGAAACTTCTCGGTAAAAGGCGAGATCGTATACCATCAGGCGAGTTCGATTTGCAGCCACAAGGCCCGGGTTCTTACTCCGGAGGGTGCGTATTGATGAAGAGTCCCAAACAATGACTGAAATCATGGTAATGAGCTCGATGATTTCTAGTTGTTACGGTATACTCGGTTTTAATTGCTATTCAATTACTTCTGAACTCACACATAACATACATTCCATCCTGACTCCACGTGCATCCTGATTAACCCTAACTCACTCGATTATTCACGTCATTAACTGAATCTAAAAACCTCACTCAAGTGATCCACAATGCATTGTCTCAACTACAGGGAGTCGAAACGGACGAGGATATCAAATCGAGCGAGAATCTGGAAGGCGAGAAACACATTCACCAACCTGAAACCAATCTGGAAATCTTCGCCACTCAGCCAGAATCAACAACAAAATTCGGTCGGATTTTCAATACAAACGTCAAGTTAGTCAGTTCTACTATACGGATCAGAAACTTGGCGGGCGGGTCACAAAGAATATTTCCGACAGCCTGTTACAGACATTTATCAACAACTGTCTTTGCCGGATCTATACTGAAGATCAGATGGCCGGGCCGGAAACAACCACCAACAAGGAACTATGGGAACAAACAAAAAAGAGCCAATCGCCAACCAACAAAATATGCAGGAGAAGGTGGAGATGGATCGGACATTTGCAGAGGAGACCGCTGGGTGACATCACGCGTCAAGCCCTCTAGTGGAAGCCGAAAGGGAGGCGGCAGGTGGGACGTCAGTGCAAGGGTGTCATGGAGGAGATCGTGTGAAGAGGAGTTGAAAGAGTATGGACTAACATGGATGCAGGTGAAAAGTACAGCAGAAGGAAGACAGAAGCAAGTGGAGACATGCAGTTGAAGCCCTATGTTCCACTAGGAACCCAAGGGAGCAATAATAACAATTAATTCCAGCTATAATTGTGAAAAATGATAATATTTAATAATATCTCCTTGTCGAAAACGTGTGTAAATGCAACTAGATATCTGGAGAAAATGAAATCCCTGAAAGTAGACTTATGAGAGAATACATTTTTCGAGTGTCAGCAAAATTTACCGTCAATTTCGTATGAAATATCATACTACCATTAAATAATAAAATTCGTAATATAGTGTCGGATAGAATATTTATTCGATAAATTCACGCACACCCCCGTGTTACATGTCGAACAAGAAAGACGTATCGGTAACATCCCACGAATACACTCCTTCGATGAATTAGAATTCAAAGAAGGAAGTGTGCATGAATTCGATCGACTAACGCCAATTAAATCGCAAGGAATTTCTCGCGTTAGGTGGTCAGTTAACAAGATCAAATAGAGTATAATATGAGTATTAGAACATCATTGTGAAAATTAGTATTTATCACGATTACAGTCGGAAGGGATTTTCAAATGCCAACTTACGCTTCTGACCAAACACACAGCATGATAGCGGCATGAAGACGAGGTGTATGTGTAATCTGAAAATGGCTGAACTGACTAGTCAGTGATCAGGTTATCAGAGTGAGTAGAACAATCTAGATATTTATCGAGACAACAAAGGTAGAATAATATTGTTTTTATCCTTCACTCACTTCATCTCAACTGGAGGCTAGTTCTGAATTACTCTCTATCGACTGAGCTGAGCTCAGAGAGACATTTTACATATATTTTCTGAAGTTCATATGGATCGACAAGGGGATATGTGGTCTACGCATTTTAGAATGGAGTGATTCACTGCTTCTTGTTGGATCTCATTATTTTTCTGGGGCAAATATTTACTGTGTGCACTTCAAAGATATCGCTAGGAATCTTGTGGTGAGTGAATATAGGTCACAATTCACCTCTGATCATGCAGTCAGTGAATCGTGCATGATATGCATAGCCTAGATAGCTTTGATATCTCCATCATTTCACTACATATTTCTATAAAACTGACTGAAATCTATCGAGTTGTAAAATTGTAGTTTACTCAGTCAATCACATTATCTCTTGAATGTTTCGATTTAACGGCAGATTGTAGACTGCAACGGACTTAAACTTATTTGCATTTTAGCTGGAGAATAAGAAAAATCCCTTCTGACTGTAATCATGATAAATACTAATTTTCACAATGATGTTCTAATATTCATATTATACTCTATTTGATCTTGTTAACTGACCACCTAACGCGAGAAATTCCTTGCGATTTAATTGGCGTTAGTCGATCGAATTCATGCACACTTCCTTCTTTGAATTCTAATTCATCGAAGGAGTGTATTCGTGGGATGTTACCGATACGTCTTTCTTGTTCGACATGTAACACGGGGGTGTGTGTGAATTTATCGAATAAATATTCTATCCGACACTATATCACGAATTTTATTATTTAATGGTAGTATGATATTTCATACGAAATTGACGGTAAATTTTGCTGACACTCGAAAAATGTATTCTCTCATAAGTCTACTTTCAGGGATTTCATTTTCTCCAGATATCTAGTTGCATTTACACACGTTTTCGACAAGGAGATATTATTAAATATTATCATTTTTCACAATTATAGCTGGAATTAATTGTTATTATTGCTCCCTTGGGTTCCTAGTGGAACATAGGGCTTCAACTGCATGTCTCCACTTGCTTCTGTCTTCCTTCTGCTGTACTTTTCACCTGCATCCATGTTAGTCCATACTCTTTCAACTCCTCTTCACACGATCTCCTCCATGACACCCTTGCACTGACGTCCCACCTGCCGCCTCCCTTTCGGCTTCCACTAGAGGGCTTGACGCGTGATGTCACCCAGCGGTCTCCTCTGCAAATGTCCGATCCATCTCCACCTTCTCCTGCATATTTTGTTGGTTGGCGATTGGCTCTTTTTTGTTTGTTCCCATAGTTCCTTGTTGGTGGTTGTTTCCGGCCCGGCCATCTGATCTTCAGTATAGATCCGGCAAAGACAGTTGTTGATAAATGTCTGTAACAGGCTGTCGGAAATATTCTTTGTGACCCGCCCGCCAAGTTTCTGATCCGTATAGTAGAACTGACTAACTTGACGTTTGTATTGAAAATCCGACCGAATTTTGTTGTTGATTCTGGCTGAGTGGCGAAGATTTCCAGATTGGTTTCAGGTTGGTGAATGTGTTTCTCGCCTTCCAGATTCTCGCTCGATTTGATATCCTCGTCCGTTTCGACTCCCTGTAGTTGAGACAATGCATTGTGGATCACTTGAGTGAGGTTTTTAGATTCAGTTAATGACGTGAATAATCGAGTGAGTTAGGGTTAATCAGGATGCACGTGGAGTCAGGATGGAATGTATGTTATGTGTGAGTTCAGAAGTAATTGAATAGCAATTAAAACCGAGTATACCGTAACAACTAGAAATCATCGAGCTCATTACCATGATTTCAGTCATTGTTTGGGACTCTTCATCAATACGCACCCTCCGGAGTAAGAACCCGGGCCTTGTGGCTGCAAATCGAACTCGCCTGATGGTATACGATCTCGCCTTTTACCGAGAAGTTTCTTGGTTCGAACCTCGGTTGGTCTGTATTGATGAAGGATCCTAAACTACGAGGAAACAGTTTTCCTGTTCTCCCAGGCTTTCCAATGCTTCCCTAACTAATATCAGCTTATGATGAAATGGATTCCTACAGCTTAACGTTTTAGGTAAATGTAGTGAATTTTATAGT